CTCTGGAAAGACTCATTTGTAGTGTCTTCAGTTTGTCTTCTTCCCTTGGCCCTGTAAGGATAAGGGCTGACCCTGCAGTCACACCAACACCAGCCTGCAAGAGTCTTCCTGGCTCGTGGGTTGGCTCCTGCTCATCACCCCATCCTGCAGGAAGAGTTGGGCACCGATACAGATGACGTGAAAGCCAAAAAGCTGGAGCTCCTGTGACTCCAGGCACCGCAGTGTCCGAGCTAGTCCTGCTGCTCCCCAAGTGTGGGCAGCACCAAGCTGAGCACGTCTGCAGCACCGCACGCCATGGCACTCACTGCTGCAAGAGAAGCCTTCTCTTCCGCGCTCCCAAAGCCTCATCCCTCAGCTGATGACTCCACATACCACAAGGCTCCTGTGAACTCTTGCCTGGGGAACACCGTGGACACCAACATGTAGGGGCAGGCTTGCTAGCCCCGCTGTTTACAGAAGAGGCCTCCGTTTTTGGTTGGTGGGGTCAGGCCTCCTCAAATTTCACATAAGGATTTGATCAGAGGGCAGGGCAGGCCAGTGCAAACCCTGGACATGGACTGCCCTAAGCAATGGAAGAGACAGCCTTTCACTGTATGTTTCTCCCCCACCAATCCTCCTGAGCTTCCAGAGCCTCCAGGCTAGGTGAATACCCCCCTTGGAGAGGCCTGTGTCAGGCACAGCTGAGGCTGAGCGCCCGCCACGGGGCAACACGTTCCCAGGGCCCCGGTGGAGGGTGCGGCTCCACCAGCCATCTCTGGAGCAGCAGAGCCTGTTCAAGAGGTTCCTACCCCACCCTGTCTCCCTGTGTCTGCTCGCCACCTCTTTGCCCTCATCAGCTCTGCTGCTAGGGCAGCCGTTCCAGCAGTCCAGTGCAGAAAACTATTGGGACTAGGTGTCTCCTCAAGAGCTTTGATCTGGAGCATGATCCATAACCCTCTGGAAGCAGCAGCAGTTTCAGGGGCATCAGCTCCTGAGGCATCTGCAGAAGGAGACAGCTACAGAGGGAAGCAACCTCTTAAACCAGCTCTGCCACACAGGGGATCCTAAGCCAGGACCACACCCCGAGATAACATCTGCTGACTTGGCAGCAGAGACCACAACCTTCTTCTCCTTTAGGTTCTCTCCTCAGGGAACTGCACTCACCTGCTCTGCTTCCCCTCACCTCAAGCCATTCTGAAGTGATCCAGCCTTGCTGCCTTTCATTCCTTGCCCTGCGTGTTGCCACTGAGAGTCTAAGGCACCGCTTCTGTGGGAAGCGAATCCCAGCTCCTGATGCACAGCTTGCTAGTCTTAACTCACAACACAGGCCTCCCAGGATTAGCCCTGGAGAAGACAGAAGACAATTCCTTGATACTTCCAATATCCAACACATCCGTGGCTTGCAGAACCAGCTCAGCACCTACGCTAAGGACACTGTCAGCAGAGACCTGTGGTTCAGAGGAGGATTTTGAGACTGTTACTCTGTTCTCCTTGGGAGACTAGCCTTCTTCTCCTTCCCCCATATTAGGTATTCCCACTGACATGGGACAAGCCAAGGCTAAAAGCCGCACAGGTTCCCTTCTCATCCTGAAATCTCCTGGCCAGCACCAACATTCCTGCATTACCAACAGCCTCAGTTAAAAACAACTCAGGAGAGCCTCACTGAGGAAAGAGATTCCCAGCTTGGCAATACTCTAACACGACTCTAACACACACTGGATACTAAGTTACAGGGCAGCGTGTTTAGTTGGACATTCACTTATTGGGAAACAGCCAGCCAGACTCAAGAACTGCCTTGAAAAAGAAGGAAAGTGCCAGTAAGAAAGCAGCCATGCACAACAACCAGAAATTGCTCCTCTGCTCCATGAACCTGCATAGGCCTAGGTGGATAAAAGCGCTTCATATGGGGTCATCACTGGAGTAAAGGAGAAACATTTCCTTGGTGGAATATCATGCACTCACTTGATGCTGTTACCTGAAGGCATTTCACCTCAACTAAAAGGAGTCCCGTGCTTCTTTAGGGAGCAGGAGGTCGGACCACCCCTTCGACTGCTGTTTCTAAGGATGCCCTCCCCGTGCCACTCGTCACACACATCTAACCTTACCAAAGGTAAGGAACATACACTGTGCAGCAGTTGGCCCCCAAAGTCTTCAGTCAGCTCAGAGCCTGGAGAGCATCACAGCTGGCACAAGGGAAAAAGACAGAGTCTGTGAGAAAACAACCCGGACAGCCTGAGCCAGGTGGATTATATGAGCACTGCAGTACCAGACCAGCTGAATTTCCTTTTCCTTCCAGGAATCCTTAGGCAGAGCTGCTCAGGGTGCCTCTCCTGCCTTTTAAAACTCCAGGCTACAGGTGCCAGTGTCCTTGGCCTGCCTGCCAGGAACTGGGCCTGTTGTGCCATGGGCTGGATGAGACCAAGTGACAACCAGCAGACTCCCAAATCACAGTGAGGGACCACTATGTTGTTAGTGCCAGGGGCTGGACTGTCACCTGGGCCTCAGGACACAACAGAGCATTTCAGACCCTCGACAGAGGCCATACAAACACGCACACACAGCTTATGAAGACAGCACCTCAACCCACTCTCTGAAGTTTTGCAGTAACACATATAGGGCCTTAGTAGAAGGCTACTCCACAGCATCTGCTGAATTCCTTCCTCCGTTACTCGCAGAGCAGGTAGACACAGCTCCACTTCCACGTGGGGAGCACAGACATCTCTGGATTGCCGCTGTGAGTGCTATCCCCTACACCATCCTCTGCATTGGCCTTCAAGAATTCCCTGGCACACAGCTTTTCCTGCCACTTAAATCACCTCAGGTGGAAGCAAGACACCCTTAATGCTGATAACAGTGTGTCCAGATGAACTCTGCCAGACCTTTATCACCTTGGGGGTCCCAGATGTATGGTTTGAACCGAGAAGCTCGCACAGCTAGGGCAGTACGACCCACCTAACGCGAATACTATTATATTGCAGAGATGCGTGAACTGGCAGAGAACACTTGCAGGAGTGCAGTTATCCCCCAAACAAACGTGAAGTCTTATTACAACCCTAACCAGTACCGATAAATCCACTTTAAAAAACATCTATAGATCAGATCTTCATTCAACCAGTGCAAAGCAACAGTATTCCTCAGGATACAACAACGGCTTGAGACTTTCTCTACACCCTGACTGGTTTTAAGGCCAACATTACATACCAAGAAGACTCTGCTGGTATATTTTTAATATACATAAACTCCTTTGCTAACAGGCCCACACTGATGCTTATGCACAAGGGAAACAGTCACAGAAGAAAAAAAAACTTACTGCCAATTCCCTGTTCCCCTATCCTAGAAGTTCTAATATAGTCCGTTAAAGTCATCAGTGCATCTCTGGGAGTAGGATATTCAAATAAGTCATAATCGGATCATTTTACCTTCCTGGATAATTCACCTATGATACCTTGCTCTGCAAGGTCTAGAAGCACTAGCTAAGGGAACAGCTCACCCAACCTCAGCGAGATGCATCAAGAGCATCTGAACATTTTTCCTCCTAACGGTCCATCACAGAAAGGACACAATGCTGTCCATGAGGCCAGAGAGGCCTAGGTGAACCGCAGCCTCTGCTTGCTCCCCATGCACTTTTCCAGGCCCCTTCAGCATGCAGCTCATCAGCGTGTAGCCATTTATCCAGTTTAGCATATTGTGTTGAAGTTCAAAAATTCAAAAAAAGAATTGAAGTGACTCTGCTTTTGAATTTCCTGAAGCAAACTAAGAAGCCTGATAGTCATCGAGTGCAACACCCTTGTCTATAAAATGTAAATATACAGCAGATACAGCGAAGCAACAGAAAGAGGAGCACACCTTCAGTAAAACAGGATTTGGGCCAACCACAGGCTGAACAATATCCTCTCTGCCACAGGAACTACTGCTCAATAACCATTTCTACTCTCACTAAAAGATTTCTACCCCTAGGCCACCTACAAGGTAAGCACTGGCTACAACCCTTCTGTACCTTTTCTATGGCAAGGCACAGAACAGCCACAAAACAGCAGGAACTGTTCACTCTCTAGGGCAAAGCTTACTGCAAAGAGCATCATGCTGCCTCCCACCAAATGATTTCAGAGCATTAAAGGATAAAGATTTAACAATTACAGACAGTAGCTTGAAGGGGAGGGTGCAAATACCACGGTGACTTAGAGGTGAACCCCAACAAAAGCTCGAATATCCCAATGCTGTCACCTGGCCTTCTCAGACAGTTTACAACTTCCCCAAAACAAAGAGGAATTGCCCTGCAGAAAACACACAAGCTCTTGTTTCCCGACTGGGAACATGGTCCTGCTTATGGTCACCAGGAATATTACCTCGGGCACTTGGAGGAGCTGCTCACAAACTTTTCACAGTTGCAGCCCAACTTAGAGACCCATGGCTTTGTGCAACCCCTAAGCATTAGCACAAACATTAAACAAGTCCAGGTCCTGACGGAGCCCCATTAGGACCCCACTTTTGGAACAGCTCTCCATGAAAGAAAAATATTAGAAGATACAGGCACGTGTGCACAAGCAAGATTTGAGCTTTAAGCCGAGGCTGGTTCTCTCAGGCTTTGCAGAATGCTCAAATCAAGTCCACACCAAAATAATACACACACACTGAGTATGCCAGCGTCTCTGCTTGTTACAAATACACTGAGAAAGTCTGCTAGGCAAGAAGCAATGCTGACATTTATTTCACATTTTTATCCAGCAGCTTCTCAGCACATCTTATTCAGACTCAGTCCCCAACTCTCTCCTTTCCAAGTTCAGGAGCCCTGTGCACTGGGCTGGTGCCCTCCATTCGGACAAACTTTGCTGAATGAACTAGAGCCATCAAGACACATAACTCTCAGCCAGCTAAGCTAATATCTCTGGGCAGGCTGTAGCTACCCACCTGAATGCCTTTTTTTTTTTTCAGGTTGTTAAACTTCTTGCTAGTAAGTCTTTTCCTTCTTCAATTAAAACCGTGCTAAGAACGGAATTCTATTGGCAAGGGCCAATACTGACCAGTCTTTGGCTGTAACGGATCCTTTCTTCCTCAGGCTCCATCTCCGAGTCTTCTGAAGAGAGTGAGAAGGACACCCCAGGGCTGCTGTCTTCCTCCTCTTCCTCCTTTGAAATCAGAGGGAAATAGTGAAGAAGAGTACACAGACATGAGCCTCCTACAACCCTGACAACAACTCAGCTTGTGAGTGATTCCACACGGCTACACTAGCCCAAGGAAAAAAAGTGGAGGAGCCCACCTCAACTTTAACACTCCCATTCTAACTTTAGTCATGACCCAGGGTAAATGACTTTACCAGCTGTCCTGTAACATGACATGAGCTGCAGGTCTCAGATGAGGAAAAGGCCTCCACTCTGTGCTACTGCTAGCGCAGGTGGCAGTTAAGTTGGCGCACACCAGGGACATGAACCATGCAAACTGTGCACCTGCCATTAAACATTCGATGGCAGCAGGGGAGCAGTACAAGATTATACATTAAAGCAGCATGTTGTCTAAGAGACAGGACTGTTCTCTGGATTTTCTCTCCCAAAGTGCCCAAAAGGAGCACACAGAGCATGGTTCCCATGTAGCATGAGGACATATGGGACCTCTCCTGCATACAGGGTTTCAACATGGTTGCAGGTGGAGGACTAACTCCTGCTCAGAGAGGACCAAAGCGCTCAGATCTCAAGATCTGCCACCTTGTGACACCACTGCACTGACACGGGGAAGAACTTCCCAAGGATGGCATCTAAACTTTTTTAGGAACAAAACGGGAATCAAAAATAATCCAACGCTAGGTACGCCGCAGCTCGTAACCCCCACAGCTTTCAGAGAGGGAGTGGGCCATCCCGTACGGCGCTTACGGAACGGCTCCCGTGGCGCCGGGAGAGCTTATTCCACGCCGAACCCACTGCACTGACACGGGGAAGAACTTCCCAAGGATGGCATCTAAACTTTTTTAGGAACAAAACGGGAATCAAAAATAATCCAACGCTAGGTACGCCGCAGCTCGTAACCCCCACAGCTTTCAGAGAGGGAGTGGGCCATCCCGTACGGCGCTTACGGAACGGCTCCCGTGGCGCCGGGAGAGCTTATTCCACGCCGAACCCTCCGCGCGGCTTTGACAGC